AGGCACAGGGATGGAGGCAGCCTGTTATCAGGCAGCAGGTTTAAATCAAACAAAAGGAAATAGTTTTGCACGCAAGGCACAACGAAATTACCTCGTTAAAGCTGAAAGTTAAATGAGTGCAAAAGAGGATAGGATGAATTCATAGAGAACTGGGGCATCCACAGCTATTAATTATGCAGATCCAGAAGCAATCGTTTGATCACAAATTTCCTATGCCCCTGATGGCTAGAAGAGAAGGATCATGCCTTTTCCCTAACTGTCCATCTAAGTCCTCACCCACTGCACAGCTGGAGACAAGTGCCAATGTGCTGCCTGTCTGATGTAGGAAAACAGCATGCTAATGAAGCTTTAAGCCAATAATAAGTTTGGACATATTAAAAAACATTGATGAAAGCAGAAACAAACAATATAGGACATTAGCTCTTAGAAACAACGCAGGAAGTAAACAAAGACTTAGTTTGGAAAATGTGGCTAATACATCTGGGATGGATCATCCACCCTCCCCCCCAGATGTTCAAAGATGGAGAGACCTTGAGGCAGTAGGAGAAAGAGAGGGAGCAGGAACGTGCTGTGCCACAGCAGAGAGAGCGAGAGGAATGCGAATGTGAGCCCCGTCCCCCCTCATCACTCCATGGCTGAGAGTCACAAGCAGCAAGGAGCCGATCCCTCCGGAGCCGGCTGTGGAAAGCCTCCACCTGGTACATTTGTTTTAATTCTGGCCATATTGTTACCAGAGGAAAATTGGAAAATTTGAGGAAAGTTCAAGCTGAGAGCCATAAGAATGAGCAAACTAGGGAGAGTGTGTGCTGAAAGAAAAATGATGAGCCGTGACAAGTATGTTTGCCTTGGCAGAGCTACAGCTGTGGCTGCATGGAGAGGCACGCAGCCCCGCAAAGGAGGGGCACAGGCCCCCGTCCTTCACCTGTTTTGGGGGGTTGCAGTGTCAGCATGGTGCCAGTGGTGCTGCCTGGGGGAGGGAGAGGGAAAAGGACAGAGGACTGCAGCTGGCCAGTGTGCGGCAGAGGAGAACAAGCTGCTTTGAGGAGGTCAGGATGAAGCTAAAGCAAGGAAAGATGGGTTTTGGGCACTCGCAGCCTTCCAGGGAGTGAGGCTACCCGTGTGAGGTGCTCGAAACCTGGGAAGGACCACAATGCCCTTCCTTGCCAGGAGGGGATGCTGCCCATCCACTAGGAACTTCAGATCTGACCCAGGAAAACAGCAGGGAACTGGCAAGAGAGGAAATCCCATCTTGGGACTTTTCCATGTCTAGTGCCACAAGCTCCATTCCACTATTGGCGAGTTCCCATCTTCTGGAAAACAGCGTGAAAACTTTTCTGTTATCAGTTCAGAAGTCTTTATTGTGATAAGGATACAGAAATTTGTGCGTGCATCAAAACAAAGATCCATTTCCTCAGGGCCGAGCCACAAAAAGAAAGTGCATGGCCTGGGTGGCAGGGACTGTTGTCCTTAGTGTGTGCCCCCCAGCCCCTCCTGAACAGGCTGTTGAGCCCCGTGACGCAGCCGGCAGCCCGGCAGAGCCTGCACGTCCCCCCGCCACAGAGCACGGGAATAATCGGGACAGACGAGAAGGGGGCACGTGTCCAGCTGAGAGCTGCTCTTGGAGAAGCTGGGGAGCCCTGGCCAGCACCAACATTGCAAATCAGCCTCTCACCACCGAGGTGATGGCCCCACTTCCGAGAGCTTTCTTCCAAGTGGAGGCTCTACTGTGCTTTGCTGTAGGGCCAGAGAAATCAGCTGTAGCCCATGCACAGAGGAGAGCTGGCTGTGTTGACGAGGAGAGTGAAGGGTACTTAGAGTCTGTGGTGGGGAGTGGTTGTTCTCTGCAAGAAGTGAACGTGCTGCAGGCACCCAGGCTTTCTCTTCTGACCCCCGAAAATCTCAGCCTCACTGACAGTTTTGCCTCAGGCCTGACACTTGGGTGAACACAAGAAAGTTCGTGGAAGTCATCAGTCCCAGAGACACCAGACTGCTCCCGCACCCCGCAAAGCTATCAAATCCCCTGCAAAGAACCTTCCCAAAAATGGACAACTCAACATTTGAACCCAAACCAGAGACACTCATCCCACCTTGCTGCAGCACATCTCAGGGCTTCCTGTGACAAAATGGGAGAGACTAAGGTCTGGAGTCTTGGCAGCCCAGCAGAGCTGATCAGTGAATAAATATTTGCAAGACAAGAACATGTGGTGTTAAAAGATGCTTTAACCCAGAAAAGCAAAACTGTACAGGAGCCAGTGGCTGGAAATTAAAGCCAGAAGCTATCAAATTAGAAATAAGGCACAGATCATTATCAGTGAGGCAGATCAGCTACATTAGCAAGAGAAGTGATACCATATTATTACTGGCATATTCGGAAATTCCCCCTACTATTGTTAATGGTCTTCATATACACATTGGGTGGCTCTGGAACACACATTTGAGCTGAATACAGTTGGATCAGATGCAGCACAGAAGCAAAGAAATGAATGTTCATTAAACTTGAACTCTTCGACCAAGGATTTTGAGTAGCCGCCATGGATAAAGTCCTGCAATAGCAGGAGAAATGGGGAGAAAAAATCATATGCTTTTCTGGGAAGAGTGAAGCCAGTGATATGCAAGGGTCTCACTCTGATAGGATGCCTTCAGTCAACTAATTCCTGGAGACTCAGCCTGCTCAAGTGATTTTTAAGTGGCATGTCTGGTGTCACCTTAGAAATTCTAGTTCTGGAGAGATTGACCCATAAGTGTGGTCTAAAAGTCATAAGGTTTAAAAATAATGTAACACATGTTGTATTTATCTTAGTTTGGGGCCTCTAGGTTGCACTCAAGTCATATTTACAGCTTTAAAAAAACAAAACCCAAACTGAAAAACAAGAGAAGGAAGGCAGGAGGGAGTAAGCGAAGATACCAGCTGATCACCTGATTCCAGAATCAAGAACTAACAGTATTAGTACTATGGGACTTGCAGTAAAGATACAAAACATAGCTAAAGCTCTTCTCCCAGCTTCTGTATTTGACCTCGTCCTTTGGCATGAACCATTGGCAGGGACCAGAAGGGCAGACTGGCACAGGCTTTCTCTCCACACAGCTTCCACATGGAGTTTCTGCATCACTTTCTGAAATGTCCCAATGGATCTGCCAGTTCCAGCATTACAGATACAACTAAGTAGCTGCCAGATCCCCGAGGAGGTCTCAGGAGAGGAATTACCATTCTGCAGGTTTCCATGCTGTTCATGGGGAGGAAGGATGCACCTGCTCATGCGGGGAGTTTCACCAGGGCACCTGCTCTGCTAAGAAGACTCCATATGCAAGGAAGGTGGCACAGGATGGGGGGGTTGCAAGTGGGGCTGACTGGGGAGCTGAAGCAGCTCTGATCACATGCTGCTCTTATATGCCTTCCAACCGTGACCAAAAACTACTGTTAATCTCTCATCTACCTATCTTTCCTGAAAACAACAGAAGGAAGACTCCATCTGTAGATGAATTCCAACATCTCAATGTATTTGCAGATAAAACAAAAACTGGTCAAGGGACAAACAGTGTGGGGAAGTGTCATTTGCAGGTTGATCGGGATCACTGGCTTGGGGGAATATTCTTTGAATAGTACATGTTTCAGTGGAGCCACGTGGAAGGCAAAGCGGCTCACGTTAAGAGACAGTGATGTACAGTGTGAGACAGCAGCTGCTCTGGAATGCAATGACTGGAAAAAAAGGCCAAGTTACAACAGTCCAACTGGACAAAACAGCCCCAAAACTTTCTCTTAAGTGAGCAGATCTGACCCTGAGATATACGAATCGAGAACATATAGATCAAAACCAGAGGGTATTACTTTTATATACACTACTAGCGACTCTACTACCACTCTATGCTGAAAACTTTGGTGTCCAAATTTCAGAAAGATTTAAAAATTTTCAAAGAAGTGGAGTCAAGAGCTACAAGTGAGGTCAGCACAGAGCACTTTACAGATTGAAGATCAATCTATTTAATATGGTACAATGATGACTTGCAAGCACCAACAAGGAAAAAGGATTTTGATAGCAGAGAGTTACTCTGTCTTTCTGAAATGGGCAGAACAAGATCCAACAGAAGCTGAAGCCAGCTAATTCAGAGCAAAAATAAGACACAGATTTTTGGAAGAACAATAAACTACCCAAAGATCTTACCAGACAATAAGGTAGATTTTTCCCTTACCTTTAGGTCCTTCAATATGTTACGGCTCCTACTTCCAGGCATGAAGTTGGAATAACTGGGGGACATTTTCCAGCCTGCACTGTGCAGACGGGCAGGCTGGGAGAGCATGAAACTCCCGAGCTCTGCGTCTGTGCTTGCCTCAAGGAGAAGGCTTTATTGGGGTTGTACATCCTGATCCCCTCCACGCCTTCTACAGCTTTGCTCGGGGAAACAGGTGAAGGTGTGTGTTTGCCATGCCTTTCTCTCCACAATATCTGCTTTCTTTTGGCCTCCAGCACTTACAGATCATTAGGAGAAGAGATTTCCGAGATTTCACGGGAGGTCGACAGGCACCAGTGGTTTCTATGTGTTTTTGTAAAAATGGATTTCTGACCTACCTCTCTTTTTTTTTCGGACCAAGGAATGGAAAATGGAAGAAAGTAAACCTGATCATAAACCTGATCAGTGGCATCGCCCTAGCTGTGTGCTAGAAGATGGGCTGCAGTGTGTGCACTCGCAAACCCTGCGTCTTGTGGTCACGGGATAAGCCCAAGCCATGAGGGAAGGAAAGGCAAATTTTCACTGATTTTGCTGGTGGAAAGATGTGCATGCTCATGCTGGTTAACAGCTGCCAGCTGTCTATTTATAAAGGAACATGACCTAATAAACATTTTCCCTAGATCGGAGGCTGCTGTATGATCAGCACAGTGACACTGGATTGCTTTAATAGGTGTATACCTGTAGGCACGCTGATCACACCAGAGTCCCTGTAGGCATAAGCACTCGCTGCTGGTCAAGGATCCTCAGCCAGTATGAGCTATTCCTACAAAAATCAGCAATGCCTGCCTGGGAACTTGTGTCTTGATGTACCCTAGGGACATGGGAATGGCTCAGTGTAACAGTGAGCCAGCTTTGGTCCAGCAACAACATTAGGAAGACGTGGGAAAGATGCTTCTTGCCACCTGCGAAAGGAGCAGATAGCCACCAGAGCCCAGCTAAGGGCTGATGACCACCAGCACACTCAGTTTCTTCATCCTCATCCCTTTTTTGCCCAGAGCGGCATTTGAGAGCCTGGCCAGCCCTCGGGGGCCAGCGGGTGCAGATGGCCATACCCGGCTGTAGGGCTGCAAGGGCTCAGGGCGTGGAGGAGGCGAGCAGAGGTGTGCTGGTGTGGGAAGAGCTCTTGGGAACGGCTTCAGCGGAGGAGGAGCAGGATCACCCTGTGTGTGATCGCTCCCAAGAGCTCAGTGGGATGTGTGACCCTGAGATTACCCTTACAGGAGCACTGGCTCCCAAAGATCCTGCCGCTTTTCTCTTTACAATGCTGTGCACAAGGCAAAAAACCAACAAGCAGCAAAGTTTCATTGAATGAAAGTACGACCCATTCAAGGACGGGACACCCGCTTGTCTGTCCTTGGCAGAGAGAGGTGGCGAGCCTGATGTCCCAACGTCTGTCAGTGCAAGTGTGAGTCAGAAGAAATAAATGCCCTTGTTGTACACAGTCAGTAGCTTCAGTGAGAGGCGAGAGGGGCTCTGCAGTAGAGCCTGCTCTGCCAGGGTCTCCTACCCCTGAGCGGCTGGGGTGACACGGCCCCTCTCCCCCCAAGGCTCTTCCTACACAATCCCCTTCTGCAGGCACTTGGGCTTGTGGAAGAGAAGCCAGGCAAGCAGAAGCACGGACACCAGCACGAGGGAGCACAGCACCATCAGCCCCACGTAGCTGCCGTGGGAAAGAGGGGGCACAGCGGGCTCCTCTGCGGGGATCATGTTGGTCAGGTTCAGCATGTAGCCCAGGGTCCAGCCTGCATCGCTGCTGCCGATCTGAAATGGGAGAGGAGCAGAATCAGCGCTGGGAGGTGCAGGGGCTGCTTGCGGCGTTGCCGGGGCAGTGGCACCCCTGAAAAAAAAAAAAAGGGCCGGGCTGTGCAGCAGAGGTTGCAGTTAGCTGCTGGGGTAGAGCCCTCCCCGCCACGAAACACACCTTTCCAAGGAAGTGGATCCTTTGCCAATTCTCTTCAGTGAATTCGTAGCCATTTTCCAGGAGAGAGAGGATGTAGGCTCCAGAGAAGCAATATTCGCTCAGGTACTTTTCTTTTATTTGGTGATACGCTGTCTTCACCTGGGGAAGGAGGAAGCCACCAGGCTGTTAAACACAGCTTCCCGCGGCTCCAGCTTGCACCCGAGCATCCACTGCAGGTCCTGGGGGGGATCTTCCCCCTCTTGCCTTGGAAGTTACCCCCAACCATTTATCCCAGAAAAATATCAGCAGCTCTTGCCACCCGGCAGCCCCAGCCCACTGCCACAAGCACTGCTTACCTCGTGCCAAGGCCGGGCGCAAAAGCTCTCGATGGTGCTGGCCACTTTGTCCAGGGCAACGGGGCTTTGTTCACTGGTCAGGTTCAAAAAGTTCATCACAAAATAGAAAGCAGAAAAAGCCTGAAGGAGAAAGAATATTTTTAACCTGACTGGGTCTCATGAGCAGGACAATGGAAATCCCACAAAAGAAAATGGTTTTATTTACAGATAGAGAAATATAAGAAGCAACATCACACCACAAAAGCAGGTATATTTTCAAGAGTGATGTCATTTTGAGACACACCCCTCAGAGCTGATGAGAGCTAAGGACCCCAAAGGAAGGTGGAAGTAGAAACTTCACTGACCACAGTATCCTGAAGCACTTCAGTAAATCCCTCTCCACTACGCACTGGTGCCAGAGTGGCACACGATGAATGCTGCTTGCCATCACAACCGTGATCCCATTTTGGCAACCGAATGAGATGAGCGTGCAGCCAACGTTGCCACAAACAGCAGAGGTGATGGTCTGAAAGGACTGTACACGGCCCCAGCGTATAATCCAAAGTCCAGAAAACCCACCTCTGACCATGGCCAATAGCTGATAGGTAGGGGGCAGTTTATGAACAGGGCAAGGGCGTATTAACAGTTCCCCCAGAAAGCCTCACAGCCACTGAAGTCTTGCAGCTCTAGGACTGATGTTCAGCGTGGTGTCACACATGACGTGTGCTCAGAGCGTGCCCTGTCTCGTCATCACGTCTGGGAAGCAGACAGGCGAGCTGACTGATTGATTTCAGTAGCACTCACTTCTGGATGAATTTCAGATCTGGTACCACCATTGACCTCAGGAGACAAGGTTTGCAGGAGCAGTGTACCATGCACAGCCTGCAGCAGGCTCTCCTGCCTCTGGTGCTGGCCATCAGGAAGGACTGCTTGAAAAATGAATCAGTACATGGAGCACCCCAAGGAGATGCCTACAGGAGATGGGTTAGAATGGGAACAGTGCAGTACTGGTAGGCCAGTATTTACTGGGGTAGCTCTTATACGTGCTGTCCTCACAGCAAGTGCAGCACTACTTTTGTAGTTACATGTCCAAAAAGCCATCTTGTAAATGTTTTCCTTCCTCAGCCATGGAGAATACAATCTAGCATTACTCCGAGTTTCTGCTCTTTTGATATTCTGGGTTATAGAGATTTGAAGAATGTGAAGACTTACCCCAAAATCACCTTGTAATGGAGGTAGGTATATCCCATTGAAGGAGCAACTGGAGTAAGGACAATTGGTTTTGTTAAAAAGTTCCTGGATGTTCCTTCGGCACTTTTGATAATCCCCTTCTCCCTGTATGTATAGCTGGCTGAAAGGGAATTGCTTTTTCTTGGCCGATGTACAAGGGTTTTTGAAGAGGTCACTTATATTTATAGTCCTCTGATAGCCCTGGTGAAAGCACGGATCAAGGAGGCTGCTGTTCTCCACGGTCTGAAAGTAAAATCAACCCAAGCTGTTACACTTCGCTATGGGAGTAACACCCTGGGAAAGAGCCCCAAGGAAGGGTGGCCACAAGGCACTTGTCACAGTACATCACACCAAGACACACACATCGGGTCAAAGTGATGAGGATGGTTTAAAGCCTTAGCTGTGATTTGGGAGATGTGGGTATTGCCACTGCCTCCCTGTAGGACCCCAGGCAAATTACTTTCAGCCACATTTTGTGAAGCTGCTGTTGATTTGGGATTCTCAGAGATGGTGAGAGTACTTCAGTTAAGCACACTACTCCTGCTATCCCATGTCCAAGAATCAAGGCACCTCAAATTGGTAGTACTTTTGAAAATGTTGACTGTCATCTCTTTGGGCATCTGCCCAGTCTTTATGGAGGATAATGACATTTCCCAAACCCAGCCTAAGGGATGAGACATTTAGCTAGGACACAGCAACTTTTACAGCACCAGCATGTCAAAGCTGGGAGGGTCCAGGATCTCCACCTGCAATTACAGATGTACTTGCCTGTAGGTCCCTGGCCAGTTTCTGTTGCAGAGCCTGGTCCTTCCCATAGCAGAGAAAGCTGTGCGTGTACACTAGATAATCCTTGCCATAGAGACGGAAGTAGAGCAGGTTCTCTGGGGACTCAGAAGAGAGTTCATTTGGTACAAAGGTAATCTGTGTTGAGGCTCCTCCAAGGTCTAGCGCTCCTGATGTCTCACTTATGGATTTCAGAGAATGTAGAAGTTTTGTCCAGCCAGACTTTAAAAAAAAAAAAAAAAGAAAGACAGATACATCAGGCATGGAGGACATTTATTTGGGGGCAAAAAAGACCTATGAGGAGAGAAGCAGAAGCACAGAACTCGGGAAACGCAGGAAGACCTGGAGGGGGGCACAAGATGACAGCTGGAACAAGACACAAGAAAGATGCAGGCTTAGAAAAGCAGAAGATGGATCATATCTGAGTGTTTGCAGGAGGACTAAGAATATGAAATCTAATACAATTGTTATGAGAAAAAACAGTCAACTTACTCTTTCAGCTCCCAGGTGATTTATAAGCTCAATAGTAAAGAATCATTGTCAAACTTTGCAGGCACAGAAATATTTTAGATCAGGAAGTGAGCCGGATGCTGAACTTACTGAAGTTAAGTTATCGAAGATGCTGGTGTTTTATTTCAGTGCTTTAAGCCTGACTACATTGGTACATCCTGATACTTACTGGTATCAGGAGGTACTCACAGTTATTGCTGAGGCAAGATACGCAGCTTCCTGATCTCTGGTAAGTGGCTTACCAGGGAAGATAGTGCCTGTGACACCCTCCTGCAAGGCATGATTTACAAAGTGCTGCAATGATTCAAATATGGACTTGCTGTTGATACAGTACCTGCTTGAAATTGCCCAGCAGGTAGTTAATGGTGATCCATCCATAGGCTCCTTCTTCCTGACCACTGATGATTCTGGCACCCTGGAAGTTGAAGGGAGCTGAGCGTAGCGTCTTCTCTACTGAGGACAAGACTTTGTCAGCTGCGCTTTTATTCTCCAAGCTGGATGAATGAAAGAAAGGATGGGGTGACTCTGGCTGACAGCTCTCTGCAGCCTATGGGCTTTATTCTGAGTAGGCAGACTGCAACTCCCCACCAAGCATTAATTATAACAGAACAGTCATTCATATGGGTACATCCACCTCTAACTAGCCACATCCCTCTGTGTCACACCTTAACAGCACAGCTGCCACCAGCTCTGACACTTACATATCCCGCAGCTGAGAGTGGTACCTGGGGCAGAGACGAGAGCTCTTGTGTTCTGCTAGAGTACGTGCCCCGGTAGGGACTGCACCATGGAGATTCCTCTCACTCTTCACCATCACCATGACAGAAGAAATCCATGCCCTCTGGTATCCCCAGGGAGATTTCCCAGGCGATACATACATCAGATCAGCTCCCTGTCCCAGCCAGGCAAGAGGTCTGGGGCACCCCCATGAAAATCACAAATTGGAATTAAAGGAGGATATGATTATAAAGTTACCTTAGCTCTGATGGCCTTGAGCTGAGTCAAGATATGTGGGGAGTCGCAATATGGTTGGGCTCAAAAATCCTGGGTCAGGCCTAATACCAGACTGTGGGGGATGTCTGAGCATCCCCTGAGCATCAGCTTGGGCACTGCTACCCTCCCGGTGTCTCTGCGCTGCATGTGGGTGCTGGAGATGATGGAAGATTGGGGTGAGTAGAAATGGACCTGCTGGGCAAGCAGGGGAAGAGCCCAGGGAGAGACTCAGGGCCCAGAGAGGCCAGCGGCAGAAGAGGGTATCTGGGCAAAGTGTGAGCTGGCAGCATTTCCAAGGATTTTTCCCAGAAGACCCCTACTGAGCATCCACGGTGGTCCCAGGTGCAGTGCTGCAAGAGAAGGGGACAAGCCCTGCAGTACCTGAGAAGCCGCATGCCGGCAGTTGCTCCGAGGTAGACGGGTGTCTCTTGGTGCTGCTTTGAGGGAATCATGTCTTCTGCTTGTCGTAGGCACTGTGCCAGAGAGGGACCTGCCTTCTCCACGGCATGCGAGTAACCTGAGATCCCAGGGCCTGCAAGAAATAAGGACACTTCATTATTCAGACTCCAAGCATAACCCCAGACTGCTGTCGTCAGCAGTCGTGTTAAACCATATCACTATCACGGGCAGCAACATCAGATTCAATTACCCCATTTCTAAGGAGTTTTAGAAATCCTACAGCACCAACTAAAGCTGATGCACGCAGGGACGGCCACAGTGCCCAGCATCGGCCACCCGCTCCCCGCAAAGCAGGCTATGAACTAGCGATGAGGGCTGCAGTGAGACAGATCATTTGCTTAGTATGTCCTGGACATCCGCAGACTCATCTCTGCTTCTGCCTGGGTGTACCCTGGATCTGTGCCTGAAAATCCCTGACCCTTCACTGTGCTGGGTCCTCTGGGGTAAGATGCTTTCGTTTGTGTATTGTATGCTCACACTACAGCACTGAGTGTTTTGCAGCTATCCCCTTTCATGCTAACCCAAAGAAAAATTCATCGTCCCTCCCTGCCGTGCGTCCCCTGGTGAAGGGACTGCCCCAGGCCCAGTGCCTGCATGGGAAGCAGTGAAGCCCGCTCTGCGTTTACTCCAGGGTGCCGTATGCTCAGCGTGCTGCTCGTGGCGTGGCATGGCATGCTGCAGTGCCGAGCAGCTATCGCAGCAGCTCGATAACAGCACGGCTCTCCCCGGCGCTGCAGACAGGCCTGAAAGGACCCCAGGCAGGCTCTGACAACACCTCTCCTCCCCGCAGAGAGCAGCGATCCATGATGGTCTACTCTGTTCCTTGTCACGTGCATCCTTGGGCTTCATTTATGCCTTCCTAAACCATAAAATATCTACACAGCAATTAAATAGAATAAAAAATAAACGATGACATGCATAAGTCGAGCAACCTTGGCCCGCAAGCCCAGTGCCTAGCTTGCACAGAAACCTTGAAAAAGAAGAAACCACACCCTCCCCACTCGCTGCCTGACGTTCATTGGCACTTCAGCAAGGGTGCATGCAGACGTTTTATTTATTTAAGTACATTCTTTGGTGTAGCTCTTTCCAAAAAGCACTTACTTCCAAGCATCCTAAAAACAAAGGAAAAAGTAGACCCAGCTTTCCTCCCAGGAAGGTCAGGCACATACAGCTCCCCGTGGGAAGCAGTAGGATACACATTCACTCACAGTTGAAACACTGTTTTCACTATTGGCCTTTTCCTTCAGGTTTCTCCTCCCCCACCCTTTGGTTGCATGATCTCTTCTTCAACCTGTGCCCTTTCCACAGCTCCCTTTTCTCCTCTTACCTTCGACCTTACACACCTCCACCTGCTGCACCACCCCAGTGTCGTTCTCCTTCTCTGCTGGCCACTCGTACACATACAGGTTAGTGTGGGACGACCCCGCATCCAGCACAATCCCATACTGTGGGCAAAACAGAACCGTCATTGCACCTGGGGCACCGAACCAGACACAGCGTGCGCTGGTCTCCAAACGTGGGGGGACCAGAAACGAACAGCCTATCTGGCAGCTGTGGGAACATGCTCTGTCATCACTCTTCTCAGTAGTGCTTCAGTGCAAAGTTTCCATCAAAGGATACAGGAGCAGAGAAGCACCACATTGGGACTGATTACTTAGGAGATGATCCCCTGTGAAGCCGTACCTGTTTTTACCATGAAGATGTAAAACGAGATGTTGAGGTGCATGGAGCCAGAAAGAGAGGTTAGCCAGACCCAGCAAGGGCAGCAATGTGTCCTGGAGCACTATGCACGCCTAACCCCCCAGCTTGGCTTGTTTTCCTGTAAGAGTCCCAGCTCGTAATACCTTAATATTCTTCGGAAGTGGCTTGTTTTGGGTCACTGCTACAGCAATTAAAGCAATAACAGCCAAAGTAGAGAGGAATCCCAGGATGAGTAGAATCTTTCTTGTCCAGGACATCTTTGGTTTGGTACCTGTGACTAGAGCAGAAAAAGGATCTTAGTATCCCAGTAGCCCATCTTACCTCACACCCCAAAGGTCTTCAGGCACGTTCCTGCAGTCCCTTTCCACTACGAAGCACCTGCCTTTGCCCATCCCGGCTCCCATCTCCTGCTCCATGTCCTCGTGCGGGATTTCTTACAGGCAGAGCTCAGCCCTGCAGGTCTGCTCTCATGGGGCGTGCCACATCTCCATGGGCTGCCCTGTGCCAGGTGGTGATGAGGGAGGACTTCAAGATGCAGCTTATGGTTAGCCTGTCCTTGAGATACCTACAGGTGATTGAACAACCATATAGCAAAAGCATCTGTATGGGGCAAACACCAATTTCTTCTATAGCTCTGCATTTGGCTTAATAAACCCTGAGAAGCTGAAAGAACAGACTGCTAATATATAAACAGCGTAACCTTGTGGAACCCAAAGCTTTAACCCCCGTGGCATTTTGTCCTAGTATACTTTGTGCTTCAGTTTTTTACAATGTTTATAAGAATTTACAACTTCCTCATCACTGGTAATGCATTTAGGAAGTCCAACACTAACATTTCAGTATGTGGCAGTCCACTCAAGAATGCTGTCCTGCACCTTGTCAACACTGTATAGAAAATATGATCTGCACTCTACAGGGTATTTAAGAAATCTATGGAGATTTTTGATGCCGCTTTTCACAAGACCAGTAAATTATGAATAGCCTGTATTTGCAGAATCAGTATAACATGGTTAAAAAAAATCACACACTTTGCAAAACTTGTACCAGTCTGATTCCTTAACCATTACTGATATATTTGGTATGACCTATCTAACAAATTAAGATTTTTGTGGCTTAAAATACACGGTTAGCAGTAGAATTCTGTAAAAAAAGCCACTTATGATGATGGAAATCATTCACAACCAATATGGCATTTGAGCTTTCAGAATGAATATACATATACCCGCATTTGTTAGTGGCTAGCATGATGCTGTCTATTATATTTTCCTGCTTTGGATTCTCCTTCATATATCCCATGGTGGAAATCTCACTTCACAACTTGGGCTCAGCCAGTTTGGTATTGTTTAATAAAATACCATCTTACAACATGAAGTTCTAGAAAGGGTATCAGCAAAAGTATTTTCCAGATTTACAATCTAGCTGTAAATTCAACACTTGCAACTAACAAATAGCTTCGGCACTTTAGGGGACATACCTGCTCCCACTATGACATGAAATCCATTTCCGCCCACACTGATGCTCCATACTCAAAAGCACTGATTGTCTGACGGCTCACACGGGTACTAATTTCTCTTTTTATACACAAATACTCTAGGAGATGTTTAGAAGTACATTACAGGTCATCCAGGGTGACAATACTTCTGTGCAGGCAACCACATCAACTATCTTCACGCTCCAAGAAGGTAAGGTGACTGAACCTGCTCTGCATCTGCATGCCAGAACTGGAGTTCCAGAGGTCATTCTCCAGCCCCCAAGTGATACTGGGTCAACGCTCCAAATCCATCCTGGCACCCCACGTCACACATGCAAATATGAAAAGCATTCAAGTTCTGAACAGGGTCATCTTCTCACCACTCTGGTTTCACATGAAAAGTGGTGTCAGAACTATACAAAGTGTTACCCAACCTTACAAATGACCCCAAATCCTAGAGTTATTTTCAGAAGTTAGCCCAAGTGAAAAGAAGCAACGCACCTCTGGAAATCTCTAACTGTTGACAAATAACGTCTTCCCATCTACGTAGAGAAAATGGAACGTAAAAGCACCAAGACAAATTGTTTTGAAGATCTCCCCGCAGGCAGGTCCATTGGAAACTTAACACTGACTTGGAGCTCTGTGCTCCCTCTCATCGTGCTCATGTGTAAATCTGCTGAGGCTAACTGTGAAATTTGGAAGCTTGTTATGCTCGTATTTTGTGAGTGCATGTTAGAGGCACAGCATGCTTGCCAGTAACTCCAAGAATGCAGCTTAAAAAAATAGTCTAGTGCACATACCAGACAGTAGGAGGTAAGAGTGCATTTTATACAGCTTTATTCAAAAAGGCCCCAGAACTCATGGCTTGAAGTAATTAGAAACAGCAGAGCGTGACAGCTGGGAGACTTTTCCTCTTATTGGAAAGAGTAGTTGGCTCAGGTTATGATAGCACTGAGCATGTCTGTTGAACAAAAATTATTTTAACACTAGAAAAATGAATAAAAACAGATACTATAATGTAAAATTAGCTGTACAGTATAGATATGAAGCTAGCATGCTTGAAAACTGAAACTGCTGCTGACAGTTGCACAGCACATCCACGTAATTATTGCCACCCTTACTCTGAGATCTTGACTGGAGGCAGCCACTAACGGCTTTGTTGGGTGTTTACTGTCATAGGAACGAAGGATGGGTGACTTAGCATGATTTCCAAGGTTTTCAAACTTCCTGCGGTGATGGCTATTGTCTGTCTGCTGTATCTTTTCAGCAGCCACACTCTGAAAGTAGCAGCATTAGCAGCAAAGCAGGAACAATTTTCTCACTGTAATGGACCATCCCAATACACAGCTGTAGAAATCCCTTGTCTGTAGGCAGAGGCATAACAATAATTGTCTGCATCCCACCTGCAACCTGAGATTAGTCATTTTTTTCCAAGGCACATTATTTCCTTAACCCTGAACATGACTTTTGCCTGAATTTTAGCTCAGTATCATGAGCATTTTTCAGGACTCTGGGAGCTGTAGATATGCAATTTCATTGCTGTATCCCATACCAGAGCATCCATCTGTGTGAACTCCAATGCTACCAGGCAGCATTTTGTTGAACTGTTTCATACAAGAAAAAGTACAAAATGATAAGCATAATCCAGAAGCTAGCCTAGCAAAGCAATAACCTTCCAAATAGCACGCACAGTGTACAGACTTGAATACTTGATTGTTAAAAAAAACCAAAAACCAAATCACAACATTGCAAATCCAGATAAAGAATTTGATGTAATTAAAATAAAACTCACCTGCCATTTACTTAGAAAGGTGAGGTATTTGGACAAGTTCCCTTTTCTGCACACTTGGTTACCTCTATCAGCTCTAGGCATAATTGCAGGTTCTACAGCGGCTAAAGAATTATCTTATTCCTCAGACTCCTCCAGCCCCTTTGCACCCCACGTTCATGTCGCTGAATGCCGTGCAAACACTCCTCAGTCTCCACCAAGTGGGGCAGTACTTGACCCTCTAGCACCTCTGACTGCCAGGCTCCAGGACTTTTCTTCCACTAGCAGTTTTCCTCAGCTAAAGATTAAGCAGGCATGATCTTCTGTCTCTGTGCCCAGCCAGAGCCCAAACAGAGACAGATCTCTGCTCTTTCTTCCATACTGCCCACTGTAAGTGGTGATAGAAACATCACGTAAGGCCATAAGTAGGCATAGAAATGATACTGCTTTTCTTCTTCCCCACTCCAAAGCTCAGAGCCGCCTGGTGCTGGAGCCCTGCCCGGCTGCGCAGGCATTAAGCACCCTCCAGATGTTGGAGCACAGCCCAGCTGCTCAGGCATCTCTGTCTGTTTCTAATTTTGGTCTCTTTGTTTTTTTTGTAGGGACTACCACTGGTTCCATCCAGTGATTGGTGCAGGTCCCAGAACATAATCAGATCTAATATCCCTTCTGTCTCTGAGTTAGCTATCAACTGAGAACGACGTTGGCAGCCACTCCAGCTAACAGCAGTTTTGCTGCAGAAACCCTGTTGCTCTCGGTGAATAACCCAGGAAGGACCACACCAGCGTGGGAGGCAGCTCTGTGTGCAGGCAAGGAAGCAGGATCGTCCCCAGTGTCTTCCAGAGCCTCAAGACAAATAGGAAACTGCTCCTCCAGCCAACATCACGCTAAGTCACTGGCAGCTCTGCATGCCAGGAGATGTCACTTACAGCCAAGGCTGCCCACCTCCCAACTCCCTTCTCGCCAAATGAGACTTAGCAACAAATGTGAAAAGGAATCAGGCAACCAGCTGCTTTTAGAGATGCAACAAGGAGAGGCTAAGGCTGGCTTAAGGACTGAAATTAGGATTGTCAAGCACAAAAGGAGAGATGCTGTTCATAGTCCAAAGCCATGCTCAGTTCAGATAACCTCACTGTCACCCATCATCTCTAATAAATACAAATACCGTTGTAAGCTCTGGCTTAGCACAACAGCTAAAGTTGCTGTTTGCTCTTTCTTTTGGATGCTCACGCTTAGCCTGTTACAGAAGCGATCACAACAGGCTGTATTGCAAGGCCATCACTCTTCCACCGCACAAGTGCCACACTGACAGAGACAGTTCCCACCGTCACCTTTATGCTCTCAGCCCACCTCTGTATGGTCAGAAACATTCTCATTTTCAGCTTTAATTTATTTATTGCCAGTCTATTCCCTCTTTGTTCCACCTCTGTCTCAAAACTTCTGCAATGCTCAATCCTCCTGGAATTTATTCTCTTAACCAACTTATAAGCAAGATCCTTTCTGGATTTTTGTCTTTCCAGCCTTCTCCATCTACCTGAACAGTCCAGCAGCCCTTCTCTGCATACAGAATAACCTGCTTTTATTTTTCTTAAGTGTTCTGACCAGAGCTGCAATGAGACTAGCCTTGCACCCATTACACCAGGAGATGATACAGTCCCAGCCTAAATGAAGTGGGGTGGGGACCTGTACTACCTCAGACACATGATCATCTACCATCACGGCCATTGGTAAGTCAACCCAGCACCTCTCCTATGCAATCCCAGCAAACCCACATTTGATCACATTTAATTAAATTAGCCCTGCTACATGCTGTAAGCAAAGGGAGTTCCAAGACACATTGCCTGCTGCCCACGAAGCTTGGAGTGACAAAGAATAAGACAGCGTCTTACGAGTCCTACCCATCAGCTGGCAGCTACCTCTGCTGCTGATCACCCACGTTGCTGCTGCAGTCTGTTGGGAGTCTCTCCAATAACTTGTTTCCTAAGTCTTTGGGGGAGAGCTGATGGATGCTCATGCAATCACATAGCCCAGC